CAACAAAAAAATCCTTGCTTCGTCACATATATGTTTTCTAATTTTTCCTTAGATGTGAATTGAGACTTTTCACTTTAAAAGCCAAGAATTTCAGTTCTCTGCTCTCAGATTTCTTCGTTGATGATCTTAAAGCAATGAATGTCCTCTTATGTAGGTGCCCTAATGAGGGAAGGTAACCCTGACCTGGATCTGCGTCTTCAGAACAGCCCCAAGGTTGTCCGGGTCGGGCAGCAAACCTGGCCCCTGGGAGTCCACAGCCCTCTGCTGGAGGCCACTCTGGGTTCTCCCAGGAGCCTCTCGCTCTGCAATAGCTGCTCCCTCCACCTCCTCTGCTTGTTCATTCCCACACAGGGTACAGCTACCGCCTCAAGACTTCTCTTCATTTGTAATTCGGGGTTTTCTATGAGTTTGTGGAGCTGGTAGACACTGCAAGGAGCTCCCATCAGCCAGGGTCCCATCAGAGAAGCAGAGCCACTAGGAGGTATGTGTGATAAGGAATTAGTCACTGGAACTTGACCCTCCACAAATGTGGGAGCTGGTGAGACAGTCTCTGTAAGGCTGGTGCCTCCTGTCTGATGCTGGAGTTCATGTCCCCAGGGCAGACAGCCAGGAAGAGAAGATAGAGGTAAAGTGGGAGAGAGCAAGGACAACCAGCGACCCACAGGACAGTTGTCACTGCCTCCAGCCTTGGAGATGGGCTTGTTCTGCAGGAGAAGCTGGCACTTCTGTCATGGCACTAAGCACACACCTGGCCCCAGAATCAGAGAAGCCGAAGGGCCTAGGGCAAGGTGGAACGCTTGCAGGCTGGTGTGCAGCCCTCGCAAGGACCCGAGTTGGCAGATAAGTGACAGCATGTGAGCTACAAGAGCACATGGCCCAAGCTTCTGAGAGAAAAGTTAATATGACTGCTGCTTCTCTCCTGTCCTTCAAATCTTGTGCAAAATGGTCTGTTGTTCCCCTCTCTAAGCCAAAACATACAGGGAGGCGACTTCTGGGAAAATAAGTCAGCCTTGCCAACTTGACTCGTTACAAAAACGCCACAGCAAGTGTTTGAAACCCTAGATGAGCCCCTTAGGTGAATTCATTTTCGCAAGCCACAAGGTTCGCAAACTCAAATATAAAAACATAAATTTTTATAACTAAATGTTTCTTCTGTTTTACGCCACATTGCATCCCTGCAAGGGGTCCTGGAAGACATCAGCCATACCGTGTACCAGGTACTATTCAGACACGCTGAGGGGTTCAGTTCAAGTGTGACGGTGATTTGTTTTTTAGGGAACGAGCAGGAAGTGCATTTCTCCATGGGGCCTGGGAGTCAGTGCTGACGCCCAGCCTGAAACGCACAGTCGCTTGCAGTTGTGGTGGAGGAGGAAGCCATGGATGCCATCAATGACGTGTGGCCAGGTCTGGAAACGAGGCATCAGAGAAGCAGAAGGACGGGGACGTGAGGTGATAAGGAATTAGTCACAGGGATCTGACCCTCCGCAGCTGTGGGAGCTGGTGAGACAGTCTCTTAATAAACTTGTTGTCTTCAGATCTGATGCTGGAGTGCCGAGAGCCACACCTGTGTCTCCCGTTTCTGCTCCTAGAGAATCTGAAGGCTGACAGGTACCATTTTCCCTTCTTTCTTTTCAAAGGAGGCTGTTTTTAACATTTTTTTCCCCTGTGTCTCTTTCTTCTTCCCCTCTTTTCATCCTGACCCCATTTGACGTTTTGTAAGCTGTGAGCTAAGTGGTAAACTCAGTCACCACAGAGGCGCTTTATACATGAAGGTCGGGAGAAGGAAGGAGTCACAGGGCAGTATGGAGAGTGGCGTAGAGAAGCCTGATAGCGCTGGTTCCATTAGGATAAGCTACAAGCTAGGATTCAGGAATCTGGGATGTCTAACCCACCCTAATGATGGGAGTAAATTCCTTTCCTCCTGACGCAGCCCTGGAGGATGCTGATCCCTGGATAGGAGTCAAGAAGGCGAGGTGCCAAGTGCGGCTCCATCACTAGACTGATTCGGGCATGTCTCTTTTCATCTATGGAAGGCATTTTCTTCACTTCTCAAGGAAAAGTTTGTAGATACTATGGTCCTTTCAAACTCGATGGGACTGGAGTTCGAGCATCGCTATCATTCACAACTATCAACTGACTGTGGTTATAGACATGAATACTATCACCAAGCCTCCCCCTTAGATTCTCACTCCCAGAAACCCTTCCTAGGAACCCAAAATGAGTCCAAGATCTGGGCAAAAGTTGGTTCTTAGATGTGGATACTTTTTTAAGTGTGTAACATTTCTCCGTTTTTAAGAAGGTTTCAGACTTGCGTCTGGGTGCCACACTAGCAAGTTCTGGGAGCCCACTGCAAGCCGAGGAATGGAGTCAACAGCAAGACTGGATTCTCGTGGATGTGGTGCAGCCCCATTTTCACATTTGACACTGAGATTAAGTCTTTCTTCAAAATCCTCTCTCACTGCCACACTGGGACGAGACTGGCGTCCTTCCTGACTTTCCCTGGAGCAGTGGGAATGGCTAAAGGTCTGGCCTTCTGAGCATTTACATGGCTCCTCCAGTACAAATCAAGTCTGGTTTGGGTCGAATTCCTCACATTGAGCTCAGCGCCTAGAAGGCAGCCAGTCCTCAATATTTGTATGTTGAACGACCGACAGGTCAACAGTGGGGTCAGTGTGCCATCCGTGTCATAATGCAGATCTGATGAGCAGATCAAATAAAGGCTTTAATAATTCTCGGAAAAAAGAACAACCTAGGTACCCTGAATTCATCACAGTAGAATAACACATTTTTTATGATTAAAAAACAAATAAGCATTGCAGAAAACAGGAAAATGCAAAGAAATTGAAAACATTCATAATCTCACCATTTAGAAATGATTACTGTTAACATTTTTGTGCTTAGGTTTTGTGTGTAATTCTCTGCAAAATTGGGATTCTCCTATGCTTTTATTTTATATTGCATTGTTAAATTAAGTATTTTTAAAAGAACGGTTTTTAATGATCACATATTATTATTCCAGCTGTGTGAGAGTAGAATTTTTAGAGCTGAATGCACCTCCTATCCTGAATTCTATGCATAAAAAAGGCACCAAAAGGTGGTGAGAACTGCTCCACACACACCCCACCCCACGACCCCCATCCAGGCAGCAGAGGGCAAAGACAGCCTCTGAACTCAGTTGTTGCTCCTGAGAATTCAGGGCCGCCTCCCCAGTGAGTGCTGTCCAGCATGCGCCTCCAGCTTGGTAACGGCTGCGTATGGTCTGTTTTAAAGGAATCCTCCCTTATTTTAGTCACAAGTCCTTGTCCTCCTACCCCTCTAAAATGCAGATCCTTGAGGTCAAGGTCCCTTATTTCTTTGCTAGCCTGTTCCTTCCCCTTCCCACCACACAGCCCTGCCGCAGCACCTTGCTGGCTTGCTGAAGCTCGCGGGGTCCCTAAGATCCTAGATCCTGATTGCGAGGGTTTGAATTTCAAATGCGCTAATTAAAGTCCTCCTTTGTAACAGACATTTTGCTGGAAGACCCAGGGACAAAGGACAAAAGACAGAGGTTGTCTTCTTTATAGAGGGGCTCCTCCATTTTTGCAGAGGACTGCAGGAAAGAGAGAGGGAGGGTGACAAAAGGGGAAAGTGGCTTTTTCTTCTGATTTCTGCCTCCAGACACCCACTCAGGCCCAGCAGTCCTTGGGGCGGGCAGAGAGAGGGGCCTTCACTGTATTCTGAGCTGGAAGAGGACCACGAAGCTGTCCATTTGGGGTGGTTTTTATTCCTCAATAGATATACTCTGATTTATGAGGTGATAGCCAGGAACCCACGGGAAATGGATGTGGGGGGTGAGGGGGCTATGCCCTCACTCTGTCTATGGGACCTTCCCACCGGGTACTTTGGGCCTCCCTGTCTTGGCACATGGATACTCTCTGGACGACAGCTCAGCCCTGCTGCATATTTAAAAAGCTCTCCAGCACCCTTGCTTATCATTATCTTAAAAAGTTCATAGAGTGAACTTCTACAACATTACTTAAGAATTTGGTTATGTTTTGACAAATACAAATAACTTTGTGCTTTATAATATGCACAGAATCTTTCCAAACTGATAAACAGTACCTGCACAGCACTCCTGAGCAGGCAGAGTCCTTGCAGCACAGTGCAGGTTAAAAAAGGAAGCGCATCTTCACTCACTGAGGATTTTTCCCCAAACCTTCTCGAGCACACGGCCCCCCCCCGGGCCTTCCCCAACCAGAATCTCATTTCATTCAGACGTGACTAGGGACCTGTCGCTTCCTCCCGTGCTGCTTAATCAGGCAGAGGCAGCCACAAAGAACTGGACACATATTAGCTCCGAACTCTGGAATGACTAATTTTTCCTTTATCCTGGCTGCTAAGCAAATGAACAGACTTCACTCCTATGTGTTTAAAAAAAACCAGTTTGCCTTAAAATAGGCACCCACCTCCGAAGGCACTCAACCTGCGTATGGAAAAGTGTGTGGGATGTGTTCACATCCTGCATAACTCAGAGGAAATTTTCTCTGAGTATTCTGTCCACAGGATGCAGCCCCGCCTGGCCTTGAGTTAATTAACTAGAGTACCTGATGGATAAACGGTCCACAAATAGCATTGCATAAACTTCAACAGTTCTATAATGTTCTTGACTGTTGAGGCATCGCAAAGTAAGAACTCACTAAAAGGAGGGAAAGAATTGGGAGAGAGATTGCAAAGAAGGATAAGCACCCTGGAGGCACAGGGACAGCTCTGAGGTGAGCTGCTTTCCAGACCCATCCACTTCTGGTTTGCACGGCTCAGCAGACCTTGGCTTCTGCCGAACCCTGTGACCCTGAGGGTATATTCTCTTTTGCTGGGCCTCAGTTCCTCTCCTTGTGAAGTGGATGCTGTATTTGTTTTGCCACATTTCTCCTTTTCTCACATCCCTCTTGGAGGCTCTCAGTGGAACACATATTCGGAGATTTCTCAGTGGACTTCCATGTCCCCCATTGGGACAGGAGAGCTCTTGATCCCAGCGTGTTTATTTGCCAGTGTGGCATGTTCAGAGATTTACGGAAGACACAAGCAAACATCACAAACAGAGAGAAACAGAAATGGAAACGTGCATCTATTTGAAAACAAGTATTCAGACATACGTACCTAGCCCTCTGGGTCACCCCTTCACACACACACAGAATCAGACAGCTACACAAATACACATGCAGGCAGTGGTGAACAGATGTAAAGATACACGGGGGTAACCATTTACACAGCCATGCTGGAAATCAGACAAACCCACACTCACTCTTGGGTTTTCTTGGTCATCGTTTCCCACACAAGTTTCGATATCAAGCCAGCCTTGACTTCTTCCATGCTCCCAGCCCTGAACTTCCCCAGAGGTCCTGACTGCCAGGCATGGAATACAAGATCCAAATGCACATTTATTGAGGCGCTGTGCCAGGTGTGGGGAACATCGAGAACAAGACAGTCCCTCCTGCGAGGTGCTCACGTCCAGTAGAGGAAGGAGATGTACAAACAGTTACAAACCCATGTGGGAAGTGCCGTAACGGAAGTGAGTACGGGAAGCTGGGTCTGTTTCTGCCCTCCTGAATTTTGGAAAGGAGGAAAGTCTCCTTCCTTCAGAGGACAAAATGCAGGCCCAGAGGTATGTGCTCAGCACAGGTGGGCTGAGCCACGCCGTCTTCTGCCCAAGTCTCTGTGGGCACTGTTCTGCTAATTTCAGCCCTGGGGTCCTTCCCCTTAAGTCAGCTTCTCCCATTGCCTCTCAGGTATGTCTGCTGGTTGAAGTTGAGGAAAATGGCGATGAGGCTGAAGGTGTACAGGAGGACAGCCAAGCTAACTCGTCGGGCAAGAGTAGTCAGCAAAGAGATTGTAGGAGGAGTGGGCAGCAATGACCACAAACTGACCCTGGGTGAAAGAACACACGAGAGGAAAGAGATGGGAAACAGTGAGAAGCCGGGCTGAGGAACGAGAGAGACTCTCCCCTTGACTCCTCTTGTGGTTACCTCTCTGTCTACCAGCAGGGGGCAGGCCTCCCATAGCTCAGGAAGAGGAAAACAATGCAACATGGTAGAACACTGCTCCCATTTTTTCCTAACCCATGATCCTAAGAATCCTCCTGACCCCTCTCCTGGTTCTGGCCCCCCATTTGCCCCAATCCAGCCATGTCATGTCGACACTGATGATGAACTCAATCCATCCTGAGCCCCATGAGGGACACCTCAGGCTGTCTTGACCATTTGGCAGTGATGCTCCCCAAACCAAAAGGCAGCGGGAGGGCCAATCAGTAATCACAGGCTCACAGGACATTAGCACTTCGAGGTCATCCAGCCCAGCATCCTCACTTCACAGATGATGAGATTGAGGGCCAAGCATGGAAGTCACTTGCTCCAGGTCCCACATCACGTCAGGAGGTTGGGGTTGGTTCTAAGATCTGATGAGCTGGTTACTGAGACTCTTGCAAGTTGAGAAACTAAGGAAGACCCAGTGATCGGAAGGGCTTGTTCCTGGTCAGACACCAAGTCACCGGCGGAGCCAAGAATCAAACCAAGGGGTCAGCCGAGGCCCCTGAAGCCAAAGGGTCTTTCTGACCAGCTGTAGGATGGTAAGATGTCACCTCCACCACAGGTAGGGCTGCATGTGGGGCCCCAGACTGGCCAGTCCCTAGTACAGGTACATGAAGACATAGACTAAAGAATTCAGTATCACAATGAAGAAGGCTGCAGTGTGGGGCGGGGAGATAAGCGGAAATGAGTGGGGCTGTTGTTTGGGTTTTCTCGTTCATACTTCAATCCTCCGAGCTGCAGAGAGCACCTCTGCACATCCTCTAGAGAAAATCTTTGGGAAGGGCCTGTCACGAGGAGGTCCAGCGCGAGACATCTGAAGTCCTGACGCTGGCTTGGAGTTAACGGGATGCTCAATGAGAGTGAGTAGAACTAACTCCACCTACCTGCACTCTCTGGGCTGATGGCTATGAGCACCTCCCAGCAGCCTCCCCCGACCCAACCCCCATGACAGGAAAGGGTGGCTCGGAAGTGCTGAGGAGCAACAGGGATAAAACGGGAGCAGAGGCCTGGTCTCACGGCCACAGGGAAAGGCAAATTAGAGCCAAACCATGATATTACAGGAGGGCACACGTCTCAAGCTGGGGTCTCAGCCCAGCAGAGACAGGTCTGCCTCACAAGGGCCTGGGACAGCTGCCGCAGGTGCATCACTTACTTTGACCACCTGACATATATTTGACTCCAGCCTACCAGTTGAAGAGCATGGTGCCATGGTGTAGACGTCCAGGAAGGTAACCTGCTCTGGCTTCTTTCATAACATAAAGAAGATCTGGAGAGGAAGAGAAGATGGTATCGATTCTGCAGGCCTCCTTTCTCTGGACTCCTCTCCTGGGGCCTTGACTACCAAGGACAGGGTGATTCTGCCTGTTTTACTGAGGGAGAGACTAAAACTCAAGGGAAATAATAGTAGTCAAACACCTGTATAGCACCTACTATGTGCCGGGTACTTTGTAAGTATAAAAAAAATCATATAAACACTTAGAATAGTATGCAATTTATATTTACTTCCATTTTACAAATGGGAAAACTGAGGCACAGAAAGGTGAAGTAACTTGCCCAAGGTCATACAATTAACAGGTAGCCAAGCTGGGATTGGAACACAGTCTGGCTTCAGAGACTGGGTTCTTTCCAACGTCCTACCCCACCCCCATAGGGCACTGGGGAGAGAGCTCAGGTATTGAACACCCAGCCCAGGACCCAGAGAACCACAGACACATTCCCAAAGATGCTCTGTTCAGACTCCGTTTTGGCAAGAAATCGATAAGAAAGAGCCCCCTCCCTTTCATCATTACCCCCAAATTCTGACCTTGCTCCACCCCACTCAATCCTGCAAGCTCCTGGATCCACAAGCAGGGTTTCTTCCCTTCATTAATACTTAAGGATGGCTTTTTCTGTCTGATAATTCTTGCCACATAATATCAGCTTTTTTATTTGTTTATCTTTCCATTTTCATTTAACCTGGAACCCACTTGCTAATGGGGGTAAATGCCTACTTTGACGTGGTGCATGGATGAAGAGCAGGGGCCCGTGGGAGCCTATGGCGGTGAGATGTTACATCAGTGAGCATCTCTCTTCTGCCAGGTTAGTGGGACCAAAGTTCTGCTCAGACATCAGCCTCAGGCACGGCCGCCTGGGCAAACCCTGAGAACATCTGATAGGGATGCTGGAGGGAAGCGTTTGCACAAGGCACCTTGAAAACCACACCAGACCTGGGTGACAGAGATGACTCCATACAAGTGTACAAGGGCATATGGATGTGGCTCTTACCGTATCAAGCAATTCAGCGGGCTTTGAGAAGCACCAACAGCACACGCTCGCCATCTCCTGGGCAGGACGGGGAAGTTCAGTCAGACTGCTGTCCCGCTGGTGGCTCAGCTCGCCCCGGCAGGGCTGGGTTCAGCTCAGGCCTCATTGTTCCTCTGCACATCCTGCTCCCACAGGGCCCACCTGTCTGCAGGAAGATGTGTTAGCACAGGAAAGAGGAGGAGAAGCTGCATGGAGTGATAACAGCGGGACTCTGCAACCGTGCCCCAGCCTGGAGCCACGCAATCTTAGGGAGCACATGGATCACACTGGGATCTTATTTGTCAAAAAGCAGATTCTTAATCACTGCACCTGGGGTGGGACATGAGATTCTGCATTTTCAGCAAGCTCCCAGGTGATGCTGATGCTGCTGGCCCGTGGACCGTACTTTGAGTAGCAAGACTTTAGCCCATCCTTCAACATCCCTTGATCCTACATCCAAATCACTGCCTGGTGACTTGTCGAGCCTCAGCCAGATTGTTCCCTACAAGGAAGCCTTTGTTCTGCTTCCAGTTGAAACACAGAACAGCTAAAAATAATGAAATATCTACCACACAGTGTGTGCCAGGCCCGGGGTTAATCACTTTCATACTTCATCTAGCTCACTCTTCTTTCAATTGTTTCCTTGTATAAAGTAGGTATCACTATGCCCATTTTGTAGATAAGGAAATTGAGGTCAATGAAAGGCAAGTATGTTACCCATTGTCACATGGCAAGTTACTGGCAAAGCTGAGATTCAAACTGAGGCCTTCTGAGCCTGCACCGAACCAATCGCTTCATTCTCTCCATCAGAGTCTCGGGTGACTGACGCCACCTTGACCAAGCTCCAATTATCAGGAAGTGCATCCTATCAACCCACTTTCCAGGCTTGCCGCTCCCACTCGCTGCCACCCCTCATCCCGAGCTCCCCCACGGTGGTCGGCTGGCTAGCAGAAGCAGCTGTAGTTAGCCAGGAATGAGGTGGCATGACCTGGGAGGGATAGAGAAGGAACAGACCAAGTCACAAAGCCTGCTCCCTCCGCCCTGAGACTTGACTGGCTCAGGCCACCGAGGCTAATACCTTCTCCAGCCATGTTCCGGACTCCGTCCCTCCCAGCCCTCACTGACACTAGGTGGATGACTGACAACCAGAGAAACTCCATGGAGTGGCTAGGTCAGAGGCCGGCACTTGCATACAGCTTGCTGGTCTCTTTTTTTTTTTTTTTTTTTTAATGTAGGCAAATATGTACCACAAACCCACACTGGGCACCTACTATGTTAGGTGCTGCAGTCTTGGAGGGGACACGAAGCTGTCCACACATCAGCTCCGCCCACAGAGAGCTCAGAGCCACATTGAGGATGTAGAAAACAATCCTGACTTAAGGTTGGGGCCAGATGAAGAGCAGGGGAGCTCACGCCTGGAGAAGAGCGCCCTGGCCTGGACCTCTCCTAACTCAGGGGGCTGGTGAGGGAGCAGTGCGACTGTGAGGGGGCTCCCAACAGAGGAGGAGCAGCCACAGAAGCTGCGAGAAGGCAGAATCGGTTAATGGGAGGTCTTGAAGCTGTCTTGAGGAGCGTGACCTACACCATTTATTTATCCATTCGACAACAATGTGTCGAATGGTACGAAGCTCTTCTCCACGCTGGGCACTGTCTGAGCACCGAGCCGCCTCTGTTACACAAAACAGATAAAAACCTCGACCTCGAGGGACTTTGCATTCTGGTCACATAGGTGAAGGGAGCTACAGAGGGCTTCAAGCAGGAAGCTGACATGGGCATGGCAGATTTTCAAAGGACCATGGTGGCAGCAGAGTCCTTTGTCACCACAGTTAAATGACAAGCTCTCTAGGGCCTGTCTCATCTCTGTGCATCTTCCACACGGTACCCGACGTTATGCTGGGCCTGTCTGTGAAAGGATAAGTAAGACACAGCCCGCCTTGGAAGCACCTGCAGTTTGGAGGGGAGACACAAATACGCACATCATGACCCTGACCCGGGGGAGGAAGCCCACGGGGGTGGCGATCTTGGTAAATGCCTACTCGGCTCTGGGGGAGGGACACAGGGCCTGTCTGCAGCGTGCAGATTCCTACAGTGCCAGTACTCCCACCGCCTACTGCTGGCTGCAAGCTACTGACCACCACCAGGAAGTCACTGAACATGGGCTTGGGAAGCCACGCACCGTCAGAGCTCGTCAGGGGAGGCTGCCCATCCACCACGGAGGGTGCAGGCAAAGAGCTGAGGAAAGGCATGAGTAACCCGGCCTTTGGCAGTCAGGGAAGTTTCATAAGAGATGACAATGGCCTGAGTCTACAGGAAGTGCAGGAACTCGTCAGGGCACCCAGGGAGAAAAGCATTTCTGGCAGAAAAACAGTCATGTGCCAGGGCCTGGGCCTGACCCAGCAGGGCTGTGGGCTGTGAGGCCACTGAGCAGGGTATGTGCAATGAGGCCGCGTGCAGGGCTGCTGGGGGAGAGGGGGAGGTAAGACCGGACAGGAAAGCTGAGGCTGGAGAGGACTAAGGGAGCCTTTGTATGCCATCGGAGGAGTCTCACCTTAGCCTCTGCTGGCCGGGAAGCCATGGGAGGGCCACCTACGGCAGTGACAGTATCCCTTTGGTGTTTCGGAGGGGTCGTTCTGTCAGCAGGGTAGAATGGACTGAAGATGAGTGTAATGAAGGACGGATGGCCCACCCGTAAAGGAGAGAAGGAAGAAGAGGTATGGCTGTCAGCGGCTGCTTCTTCAGGGGGACCCCTGGCCTCTTCCCGGCTGGCGCACTGGGGCAGGAGGGGAGGGAGGTGGGTGCGGGCTCTGGGGCCAGGGCGCCTTGCCACCTGCTGTCACCTACCCCCTCCGTGCGGGGCAGTGCAGGCAGTGCCGTCACGATACTTGGATGAGCGGATCCTCATCAACTGCTTACTGCAGGGCCTCCCCGTAATAACCCCTCTCAAACAGCAGCGAGTGTGACCACTTTCTCTGAAAAGCTTCTCCCCACATCCCAACGGGGTCTCTGCCCTCCTGCCCGTCCTGGGTGCACACTTCTGCTGTCCGGCTCGCACTGACTTGTAATCACCTGTTTCCGCATCTGTTCCCTCTCCTGGACCGTGAGCACCTGGACGGCAGGTGTGTCTCACCCAGCGCTGGCTCTGCAGCTCTTGGCACAGCCTGGCACAAAGCACGTGCCCGGGGCGCACTTGCCGACTGACAATTGGCTGAGAGCAAGGCGTCTTGAAGGAACACCGGGTTTGGGGCTCAGAAAACTGGGCGGAGGTGACAGAGCCCAGGGAGAGACAGGAGGCGGCAGGCGTTTCTTTTAGGTGTGAGGGAGATAACGAATTTCCTTCTTGCTTGCCACTGACCTCTGCTTTTTTATTTAAGGAACAGGAAAATGGGAGCCCGCGATGGGAATCTGTGTCTCCACAGGAAGACGGTGCAGCCGAAGAAGGAACAGACCCCGGTTCCTGTGTCTGTTCCCACCAAGGCTGGTCAGCCTTCTGCACAGGAAGATCATGGTGCTATTTATCCCGCAGGCACCCAACAAAGAGGAGACCCGAGAACTCTGCAGGGCCCCCACAGCCTCACCTTACAGGATACGCACCCTGAGAGAGCCACCCAGCCAGGCTGTTGGTGGCAGGCGTCCAGCCAGCCTCAGAGGCTCCTGTTGGGACCTGACGTGAGGGCCTGCCACCACCAGGAGAAGCTAGAAGACAAAAAGGAGGGTGGCAGGGAGTGGCCAGTGTCCCGGGAACCAGGAATTGGTCCTCGGGTCCACAAAAGCAAAGGGGAAGGGGGACGGCTGAGCTGGCCTCCTGCCCACCTGTCCGGAGCCCTCCCCTCGGCTGGCTCCAAAGCCTTGCTCATCACTGTCTCCCGTTCCTCAAAGTGTCTGACCTCAGTCTGGGGGGAATAAACAAACCAGAGCTCCCGCCAGATGATACCATCTCCTACCTCCGTTTTCTAAGGCCCAGGAGTATTTATTCCAGAGCTTTTCCAGGGTACTTACTGGCCACTGTGAGGACCTGTGAGTAAAAGCAGGGTTTCTGTCTTGTCTAAACCACTCCCTCATTTACTCTCTCCCTCCCTCACAACATGACCACTGGCTGGGGGCTCCCCATCGTCCCTGCCTTTGGACATTGGACAAGCACTGTGCACCTCTGGAGAGACCCCATCGGCCACCACTCTCCTCCCATCCTCACACCCTTTGCTGCTCCACGTAGGACCTCCCACCTCTGCAGCGCCCCCAGATTGCAGGGCCCGAGGGAAGGGGGCATGGCTGTTGTGCAGCAAGCAAGGGGGAGGGGCAGAGGCACAAAGTGCCCCAGTTTCCCTCTCCTCTCCAGCCTTGTGCTGCCTGCTCTTTCTGAGCATCTCTGGCTTCTCCAGCCTCTCACCGAGCCCAGCGGCACCCAGTCCCTCCAAGGGCTTGACTTACTCCCGTGTCTTCTTCCACCTTCCTCCGGTCAGTGACGGGCACGGCTCTGGCTGCTCGAGGTGTTGAAGCTGGTGGTGGGTCCAAGAGACAGGCCCTCCAGGCTCCAGGGTGAAGGGTGTGACCCATGGGGGGGCCCAACCCTTTAGAAGTTCTCTGCCCCCGTGCTCTGATCTGTGGATGATCCCCAACCTCTACACACACACACACACACACACACACACACACACGCCCTCTCTCATACATATACTCACACACTTACTGGGAATGGGGAACTGAGGCTGATGTCCATGCTTTGGCTGGGCCGCCTGCTGTTCCCACTGCCCCAGGGAGAATGAGAACAAGAAGAAGCCCAGGTCAGAGGAGGAAACTCAGAGGGCAAAGGTCGATGGCAGAGGCTCCAGAGAGGGTGGGGAGAAAGTCAGGGATGGAGGGATGGCCAGCACCCACGGGAGGCGGACTGCCCACTCTCCACTCTTAGGTCTACGTGACCAGCGTCCCGCACTCTTCATTCTTTGCAAAGGCCGTCCCACCAGAGAAGCAGGCGTGCTTGGGGACATCACACACTGCACGCCTCCTCTCTTCTCAGGCTCAAGTCTTCCTCCTCGCTCTGCCCCTTTCCCACACGGCTAAGGATCAGGCATACAGGACATCTTTCTGAACCTGCCGAATCCTCGTGCTTCCTCTGGTTCTCGGCTCACCAACAGGGTAAGGATGCTGGACCCCTGGAATTCCCAACCCAGCTTGTCACCCTGTGCCGAACAGGAGCAGTTGAACTGGCCGTTGGTCCAAATAAGATCTCTTAGGTACAAGCTTTTCCTCCTCTCGTTATGAGATTTGGGAAAAAGAACCAAGTTTAGATGGCAGGTTGCTGTAGGAAGGGGCCGGGCAGCCCACCATGTAAGTCTCACTCCACAGGGATTGGGGGCCGTTCCTGGACCCAGGCTGTTTAGAACATAGTGCCTCAGTTTCTCCTTCTGACAAGACAATACACTATGGTCTTATGAAGGCTTGAGAAAAATCACGTCAGCATAAGCCCTGGATTATCCGTGCTCAGGGCCTAGAGGATTAAGAGATTTGAAGAACTAGAAAAAGTAACGGATAATCCCCCACTTCGAGAATCTGGTTTAGAGACACGGCCGGCTGCACACGCCTGGTTATACGCCTTATGCATTCGCATGGGCTGCTGCAGCCCACCCGGCGCCCCGACTTCTCTGTCTGAGAAAGTTTCCTCTCTGGGCTCCAGCTGGAAGACAGACCCCTGTGGCCTCCTACACACATCACACGCCATTTCCTATGGAATCAAGTCAAAATGATTTGGCTGGGACTCCAAGGTTGCCCTCATCGCAGCCGGAGCCTCCTCCCTCCGGACGCCTCACCCTCCCTGACGCATCCACACCAACTTGCACTTCTCTGAGGGGGTCACGCTTCCTTCTCCACCCTCGTCTTTCTTGTTTCACGCGAGCCCCTCCTGCCACAAAGCCTCCCACACACCCTGCCCCCCTCACCCCATGAGAGGCACTGTCGGTACCACAGAGGCTGGCTTGCGAGTTTGATCATCCAGAGTATGCAGTTGTCCCTTGGTATCCATGAGGAGTTGGTTCCAGGACCCACCGCAGGTACCAGAATCCCAGGATGCTCACATCCCTTAGGCGGCCCTCTGTACCCGCAGGTTCCATGTTTGTGGATTCAACCGACCGTGCTTGGTAAACACAGTGTTAGAGCTGCGGTGGTTGAGTCCGCGGATGTGGAACTGTGGAAGCGGATGGCCGACTGTACATGGGAACCTGCCTGTGGGGAGTGACTCCACGCTGCGTTTGACAGGCTGATGGAAACCTAGGTGATGTCAGGAAGAGGTACACACAGCACTAAAGGCTGACGTCACCACTCTGCTGGCAGCTGTCACCTGTGTCTCCATAACACCAACCCCCTCCGTGTGGACAGCCTCACGATTGTTATGGAAGACGCTGGAAAATCTCCTCAACAGGACCTGAGATGTTGCCACCCCACCTTATCCCCAGGGAGCACGTGGGATCAAGAGAATGGGACTACGAATTTTAGGCAAGACCCACCCCAGTCTATTGCCCTTTCTCTGAGCTTGGCACACACCTGCTGTGAGGGAGAAGTCTGCTGGTCATCTGCGACACACCCCCTCCTAAAAGGACCCTCGGGTTCATAGATCATAAAGATTAGAGAAAAGCTCATCTTTCAACATCATGCAACTGCAAAATAATATCATGACTGGATGTCACCGTAGATTCCTTCCACCCCAACAAACGTCACCCTCCTTAACCAGCTGTCCACCGTGCTCACAGAGCCCTGGCTGCCCCCATGCTGAGCCAGCTCAGCCACCTCTGCAACCTCGAGGTGAGACAGGGCACCTACCTGAGGGCAGGGGGCTGGAAGTTGTGTGGGCAAAACATGGCATTGCAAGAAATGGTACACTTAGATACCTATAACATAATGACAGCTAACGTTTTTAAGTCATTGCTGTGTGCCAAACACTGTTCTAAACACCACATACACGCCAACACATCTAATCCTCTTCAGGTAGGTGCTATAGACAGCCCCTTTTACTGATGAGGAAACTGAGGCACAGAGAGGTTAAGTAAGTTGTCCAGTATCACACAGCTCCTAGGCAGCACGGCCAGGATTCAAACCCAGGCATCTGGCTCCAGAGCCCACACATTCAGCCAGTACACAACACTGGCTCTTCAGTCTCCCGGTGTACCACGTTTGTTTCACCAGGATGGAAAGAACCGAAGTGTGACCTTGCCTCACAAGAAGAGGAAGCCCAATTTATCAGACTCAGGATATAAATTTTCCTATTGGTTCTCACAATGATCCTGTACAAATAGCAACTAAAAACCTCCCTCCCTCCCTCCCCTCTTTCTTCCTCTCTCCCTCTCCCCTTCCCGCCCTCTTTCCCTCCTGGTATGGATCCGTTCTCTTAGATCAGATGGGGCTTTTCCAACCCTTGGGATTCAGAGCAGAGGTGCTCAGCCGCATGTGTGTGGAGAGAGAGAGGCCACGGGGAAATGGCCAGGTCCCACTGTCATTTGAACGGAGGAAGGTTCTCTCCTTTCTCTCTCTCTCTCCCCCTCCCTCCCTGCCTCCTCCTCCTTCTCTCTCTTCCCCCTGCCCCTCAGGGGAGCTTGCACAAGATTTTACGGGAAGAGAAGAGCACCACTGCCTTTTACAGAACTTTGAAAATGACTGCAGTAGATAACGGAATTCTCTCCCCAGCTCAAGCTGGATGACAGGCCACAGTACTTGGTCTGGATCTTACACTGATGGTCGTGCTGGCATTGCCCCATCTTCTGGGAGGGACCCCCGAGAAGCAGGTCCAGGACTTTTCCTTCTCCCCTGCAGGGTGCTATCAAAGGCACCTCGTCACCTCCTTCCCAGGACCCAGGCATCCCTTTCCCCTCTGGGGAGTGGGAAGGGCTGTACCCCTCAGGGTCTGGTGTGCAGCTACTCCAGCCCCAAGGGAGAGCCCGGCAGGCACTGATCCTCCCTCGATTTCATTCTGCTCTGCACACACTATGCTGCTCTCACAGAAATTAGTTCACCCTTCTGTTTCATTATTAGTGCTGTAAGCTGCCTCAAAGTTTTTAGAGAGGAGCATTCAGGGGGCTGTCAAAATCAATCTCTACATCTGCAAGCATTTCTAGAGCCTCTGTCAGACACAGCTGAGGATTAAGTGGGGGCCGGAGTCAGGCCAGTGTACACCCACTGTCACCTGCACGCGTCCGACACCTGGCTCCCTGGTGAACAGGGGGCTGACCACTTGGTTCTGCTCGTTTCACAACAGCCCCTTAACAATACGTGAGTCTTGTCCCTTTACGCTGAGGCACATTTCTCAGTCGCAACTCTGGGCAACTAGTTCCGAACCTGAGGACCTCACTCCTGAATAGAACATTCCTGAAGACAAGATGAGGAGAAAATGTGTACATGCGTGTGTGTGCAGGTGTCCACACGTGTGTGCACTGAACATGATGTGCTCCAAGTAACTTTCCATATCTCTGCCTGTACTGGCCTTGATCAGCCCTACCTGCCCCAACCACACCCCTTTCTATCTTCTTTCTCCCATCCTCCCTGCTTTCCTTGAGAAACAGCGAGTGTGAGAAATGCAAGAAGACTGGACCAGAGGAAATAGGGACTCAGGGCTGGACAGCCACCACTGGAAGAGAGAGGAGGCACCAGCCCAGAAACCCAACACCACAGACAAATGGTCTGCCTGGGCCTGAGTGACCCTCACGTGTCACCATGATCCTTCAGTGTGTCCCTTCCTTGTGCTGAGAGAAGGCAGCATCCAGCTTTGCAGGTCAGAGTTGGCAAATGGAGCCGTGCTCTGGCCTCGTTTCTTGTTTCCCCAGATGCTCCCAGCTCTGATGCATCGTGGGGTGTGCAGGGCACAGGCTGCACCCGCATGACCTTGGGCAGCCCCCCTCTCCCAATCCAGCTGAGCCGACAGAGCTCATGGTAAGGATGGCTCACAGGTGCCCCAGGAGGGCATCCCTGCCAGCCTTGCGCATGCACTCACGGTCGTTGTACAGTGGGGGCCATTGCTAACAAGGATAACTAAATCACTCATTTCATTAACAGGGTTTGGCAGATAATGGTGCAAGAGGCCGTTATCAGTCACGTGCATTCCAGGAAGGCGTGTGGCAGGCTGGTGTGCAATGGAGCTCCAGGAGAAATATGAGACAAAGCTGAAACCACCGCGGGGCTGTCACCCCCAGAATAAGCCTTGCGGTTAAACCTGTGGCTTTATGGCTTTATGGTCAGAGCTGGAGACAGAGGGAGTTCAGGTTTGCTTCTGGCACAAAGATTCCCTAGGTGACCTTGACTTTTCCTCCTCTTTAGGAGAAGGAAGCTCCCAATTCCATCGCCCCCTCTTTCTGCCTCACAGCAGATCTTATCTGCACAGGTGCGCCCGGTCATCGTCCTAAATCTCTAATTTTGTCACATCAGCCACCCGATCAGGAAATGGAAAAAGCTGCAGACTGTTTTTAGGTTTCAAGTTCGGCTCAGATTAGTACTAACCTCCACCCTGACTGTATCAACTGATGCACGGATAAATAAAACGTGCCACATCCACACAGTGGAATATTATTCAGCTATAAAAATGAAGTATTCATTCATCCTACAACACAGACGAACCCTGAAAACATTATGCTAAGTAAAAAAAGACAGTCACAAAAGGCCACATGTTGTCTGACCCGTTCACATGAGTGCCCAGCACAGGTAGACGCATCAGTGGCTGCCAGGGGCTGGGGGCAGAAGAAGGGAGGAAATTGAGAGTGACTGCTAATGGGCGTGAGGTTTCTTTTTGAGGCAATGAAAATTTTTCTGGAATTGGATTGTGACGATGGTCATGTAACTCTATGAATAAGCTAAAAACTACTGAATTGCACATTTTTAAAAGGGTGAATTTTATAGTATGTGAATTCAAAAATAAGAAAACGTTCCCTGAGCTCAAAGCACGGGGTGGGCTGGGAGCTGCCAAGTGCTGGACTTGCAGGACCGGGGATGCTGTCGGTTCCTGGCACAGCCCTGGGAACAGAAGCAGACAGACTCCTGGGTGTGTATGTGTCATATTCCCTTCAAAGGGTTCTTTGGACCGTTCACAAAACTGGCACAAAGAAAGCACTCACCCTCTCTGACACTTCTCCCATTGAGTGGGTAACCAAGTCAGCTGGCAGCTGTGGGGGGCCCTTCTCCCCCAGCCTGTTGGAACTCATGAGGGAAGGTTCTGGGGCGCCCCAGCATGCTGCCACGTGGAGCAGGAGGCCGTCCAGGGAGAAGGACCTTCAACTGGTCCAATGAAATCCTTGTTTCTTTATTAGCACAACTCTCTCCCTCTTCTTCAAATCCTGTCGTTCCACCCAAGTAATCACTTGTCCAGAATTAACATTTAACATTTCTCATCAATCTTTATGTTCGACTTTGTCACTTTGACAGTGTTGTATACACGTTATTTGAATGTTTCTGGAGCTACCACTATTATTATGAGCCTCAGGGAACGTTGGACGAAAGAATAAAGGCATAATATGAGGGTATTAAGAATGATGCTTTGAGCCACAAGGAGGAGACAAAGAATCCAAACCCACTTTGGTGACTTATGGACGGGACAACATGGAACCATACGGACAGGCAGTTTGAGACCTATTGGCTAAAGAATGGCCAGATTTCTTCCCTGTCCCCCCTTGGTGCTTCTCTGATTCTGTTTCTCCATCTGGAAAGCAGGGGAAACACCCACTGGCCTAGAATTCTTACAGGACATTATTCCCTCATTCCACTGCTGACTTTTCACTATTGAGAAACAGTTCTGATTGCTATTCTCTCCTCCTTCTCTATTTTATTTATTCTTGTTTGATTTGATTGAATTGGAAAGGGAAGGGGAGCCACCAACAAAGCCAGTTTAGTATTTCTGCATCTTTCTTAAGACTGAGCCGGGAAAGGAAGGGGTTCAACCTCATGGGACAGAGTGGGGGGGCTGTCTGTGGGTCTGGGGTCCCCACAGTGGAGGAGGAACTAGGCAGTGGTGTGGAGGGAGGGGGGCTGGGACTGGACGACCAGGCTCCTGGGTTCCGGCCTCGACTTTGCCTCTCATTACCCATTACCCAGTCTTGAGATCATTTTTCTGGGTTTCAGCATCTTTTCCCGTGAAGGGAAGTGTCTAAAACAGGTGATCTCGGCCTGGCTCACCTGAGGGCGCCGTGTAACCAGGGCAGGTCGGATCCTCATCTTCATCAAGCTCCTGTCTGTGAGAAGATCCACTTCCCAATAGTTTTGGTGCATTTGCCATGACATGGACTTGTTGACACATAGCTGAGGAGGGCAGGTGGACGGGGCACAGGGGCCAAGGAGGGGAGATGTGGCCTGGGGCTCCAGGGGCTCAGTCAGACCGCGTGAGGGTGGTCAGAAAACCCAAGTCCACAGAGGCCCTGTCCCAGGGATGCAGGGAGGAATATGTCACAGGAACTTGGCGAGCAGGGGCTGTGTCTGCATCTTCTACCTACGGCTAACGCTGGGCTGGCCTGGGAAGTCAGGGTCTGCCCTGGGGCACTGTCCCTGGGAGGAGAGCCACGGTGGCTGGTGAGGTGAGAAAAACACTACCAAGTCGCTGTGTTACACACATCCCCCGCACACCATCACTTCTGCTCCTGCACAGACAGCCCAAAGAAATTCTCACAAAGTCTGCTGAGGAGGCCCCCAGCTGTGATATTTGTGGGGCGGGAGCTGAGGCAATGCAGGAGCCCACCCCTGGGAGAAGGCCCCGTAAAACAGCAGAACGGAGAAAGGCGCTGGGGGAGGGCCCGCACGGAACAGCAATCGAGAAGAATATGGAGCGACACGGATGGACCTAAAGACCACATACTAGGAAAAAAGTAAAACGCAAAATTAGATTTATAACCAAACCCCATTTATGTACATTAAACATGTATGTGCACAAGAGAGGAATGCACTGCTCAGAAGAATGCATGCAAACAGGAGGATAGACATGAAGTACAGCGGACTGCTTGCCAGTGGGGGTGAGGCGTGGGGATGGCAATCAAAGAGAATGAATAAATAAATACATACACACATAAATAATAAAAGAGGACAGACCAGTTTAATGACCTGAGGAGTATGATTGACCCAAACCTCTATGCTGGAGATAAAAATGGAACAAACAGCCAAGACTTGACAGCTGGAAATTGTTTTTTGGACCTTGTATCTGGAGCCCAGCTCCAAAATTCGATGTGTTCACCATCACACCCTAGCGCCATTATGCTTTACTCCTGCGACGCCATCGTTCTCTCACCGATGACATGTAGGAAAGGAGAAATAACGGCGGAAGTTTA